ATTTCATTTTTCTTCCAATCAGTAATTTGTCTTTAAAAGAAAATGGTATAAAAATGCACTAAATTTTGTCTATAATATGCTATGTGTCTTGCAAGTTTCAAATAAATTAGTATATCAGAGGTTTGCTTAGCAAATAATTCAATGTGCAATTTAAAATTATTATTGCTTAAATCTGTAGAACCAATAATATTAGTTGTATATGTACTTAACTGTATTGTGTTAGTTATATAGCTGAACTTGAAAATAAAGATTCACAAGTGAAAAATAAAAAAATTTTATTTACAATTTTATGCAAGCAGTCAGCATAACAACACAACACCTAAGTTATAACATACAAATAAGTTAAAACCAGCTGATCTCTTTTTATCAATAAATTATTCAAACTTTCTTGTAAAAATTGAAGCAGAAATCTCATTAAGCATATTGCCATACTAAGAAATCTCATCAATTCTTATTTATTAACAGGTGTGAAAATTTCAAAACTGCTTCTATATTAATTGGGTCTCATCAGAAACAATAAGATGAGACTATGTGACCTTAATATTTAAATTTTGATACTGCAAGTTCAAGTTTCTATTCGTTAAATTTCAACCCATTTTGTCTGGCAATTACAAACAAACCGTTATTAACTTTTTACAACAGCCAATTAATAGTTTCAAAATGTATTACGATACTGCCATAATATGGATAAATATCGGGCAAACACTTGAGAAGACCGTCCATTACCATTTAAAACACTTCAGGTGCACAAATGATATTAAATTTTATACGATGGCTATTATTATTTATGAAGCATATAAAGATACATTCAACAGCAAATGGATGTCAGCATCACCAGTATATGTAAAAACATTTATTGATGTTGTGTAAAGGAAGTGATTATCAGTTAATGTTTCAAATATAGAAAATAATAAAAATGTTTTACCTATGCACCAGTATCCAATTTGAAAGTATCTGGTCACTACATGCAACACAATTTTGTTGTAATTTTTCCAAGCTAAAATCGTGATCTTCTAAGTTACTCGCTATCAGGCTTGTTTAATTTAAGCAAAGAATATATCAAAATGATTTGTCCAGAAAGCCACCAGTCTTAATTATGGGACACCGGTAATTTCAAAATGCACATGAAAATCACAGGTTTGTGAAATGAGTGCTCCTAATCAGAGACACCCTTTATTCAGCCAATTCCCAGAATAATAGTAGGAGTTATTACAAACCTGTTATTTTGTCGCCATGCTGAAACACATAACTGTTATCTTGATAAAGTAATTTATCATATGGTAACATGAAAATTATACTCAAATGATATAAGTAATGGCCACTTAAAGACACAACATAGACCCTTTTTTACACAACAACAAATTAAAGACAAGGAAATGAATTTTTCAATATTTTTAAGTGTAAAACAGTCAGTACATGCCCATATAAAAAATATAAATTATAATGACCCATTCTCAGTATAAAAGCAGCAGTTACCATAAACTTGTCATCTTGTAAGCATGCTGAAACACAACTTTTATCATGAGAAAGCATTTTACAGTATGTTAACACCAAATGATAACCACTTACTAAACATTAAGTGGTAGCCATTTAAATACAACCCAGATACCATTTTATGCAGCAAACACTCAACAGCAAAAAATGAATTTTTCAATATTATCATCTTTCAAGTGCTCTGAATATAAAACAGTCAGTGCATGTCCATATGAACAAAATTATAATGACCCATTCCCAGTATAATAGCAGCAGCTATTATAAACATACAATTTTCTAATCATGCTGGAAACATATAACTGTTACCTCGATAAAACATTTTACCATATGTTAACACAAAAATTATATCAAAATGATAAGAGTAGTGGCCACTTAAAACATAACCCAGACACATTTTTATGCGATGACAAATTAAAGGCAAGGAAATTCCTTCTTCAATATTTCAAGTCATAGAGTGGATATATATATAAATATATTTATATACGTTTGGTGTGGCCGATTGCAACCAAAATACGAGGTGCACATATACATGTTATAGCAGTCCTATATACAAAATTTCAACGTTCTGAGGCTACTCGTTTTTGAGTTATGTGAGATATGTACGTACGCACGAACGTACGTACATACGTTCGTACAGAAGCCACGAAAAATTCTCTTCAGAATTAATTTTAGTTTAAGTTTTTTTAAGCAGTTTTATAATTTTTTTGAAGGAAAAGAGTATTTTATTCTGTCCTTACGTACAGATATGGTGCAAAAACATCGTTAAATTGCATTCGATAGCGGTCAAAATGGATATTTTCGGTGAAATATGCTGCCTGAAACTTTTCGCGATTACAATACTTCCTTTTTACTTCGTACAAGGAAGTAAAAAGGACATGCCTTCTTCAATATTTCAAGTCATCTAAATATAAAACAGTCAGTATATGTTCATATCAACAAAATTATAATGACCCATTACCAGTATAACAGTGGCAGTTATTATATACATATCATTCGGTAAGCATGCTGAAACATCACTTTTATCAGGAGAAAGCATTTTACCATATGTCAACACCAAACTTATACCCAAATGATAAAAGTAGTGGCCGCACTAAAACACAAACCGAGATACTTTTTTACGCGATGACAAATTAAAAAAAAGGACATGCCTTCTTCAATATTTCAAGTCATCTAAATATAAAACAGTCAGTATATGTTCATATCAACAAAATTATAATGACCCATTACCAGTATAACAGTGGCAGTTATTATATACATATCATTCGGTAAGCATGCTGAAACATAACTTTTATCAGGAGAAAGCATTTTACCATATGTCAACACCAAACTTATACCCAAATGATAAAAGTAGTGGCTGCGCTAAAACACAAACCGAGACACCTTTTTACGCAATGACAATTTAAAGGCAAGGAAATGCCTTCTTCAATATTTCAAGTCATCTGAATGTTAAACAGTCAGTATCTGTCCATATCAACAAAAGTATAATGACCCATTACCAGTATAACAGTGGCAGTTATTATATACATATCATTTTGTACCCATGCTGAAACATATCACTTTTATCAGGAGAAAGCATTTTACCATATGTTAACACCAAACTTATATCCAAATGATAAAAGTAGTGGCCGCACTAAAACACAAACCGAGACACTTTTTTACGCGATGAGAAATTAAAAAAAGGACATGCCTTCTTCAATATTTCAAGTCATCTGAATGTAAAACAGTCAATATCTGTCCATATCAACAAAAGTATAATGACCCATTACCAGTATAACAGTGGCAGTTATTATATACATAACATTTTGTAAGCATTTTGAAACATATAACTGTTACTTTGATAAAGTATTTTATCATGTTAACACCAAAATTATACCCAAATGATAAAAGTAGTGGCCACATAAAAACATAACGCAGACACTTTTTTACACAACAAATTAAGGGCAAGGAAATGAATTTTTCAATATTTCAAGTCAATTATAATGATAAAGAATCTTACCATATGTTAACACTAATTTGATATCCACATTAATAATAAGGACCACTTAAAATACAACCCAGACACTTATTTACATAGATGCATAGAAATGAATTTTTCGTTACTATTACTTTTCAAGTGATCTCAAGGTTAAACAGACAGCATACATGAGTAGAAAAAAAATAATAAGGAATTCACAATAATGTGTAACAGTAACTGTTAGATGCGAAAATATTTTTTCAACAGCTAGTATGTGTTAATGCAAAATGTGTTTCCTTAGTTAGTCCACCACTAGAACAGCCTAAAAGTTTCCACTGATCTAACCACTCAAGTAACTTATTTAAATAAATATATCTAACATCATCATTTTGCACAGTTAACGGCTTTTGATACTCATTCATCTTATGGTGTCCTTTAAAGATACTTTTGACATTGACTATTGACCACCATGTAGATATAATTTTAATAAATTCAGCTGTTGTTTCGTAATTTAAAATACTATTTTCTTTACCAATAACCATTATTGCCTCTGCAAGACGACTGTCAAATATTTGTAATGCTAGCTTGACATTTTGTCTTTCCAAATTGGTTGGATACAGAGCTTTCAGAGTCAAACCATAACTATATTTTACAATTCTGCCTGCCTCTAATGAATGGAGACTTTTTATGCATGCAAATGCCGCTGTTTCGACCTTGGAAAAATTTTCAAAATTTGGATAAAATAAACATTGCCCAGAAGTTTTTTGATTTATCCAGTTGTTCCTGACACACTTCAAGATGTGCACTGAGTCAATAACAAAAAATAGTGGCCGAGATAAGTCTGCAGGGTTTTTATACACAATACTAATTTTTGGAGGCATACAAAATAATGACATGGCTTTTTTATTTATTGAATTATTGTCAGAGACAACTGCCACAATTCTATAACCTATATTTTCTAAACCAATTATAATTTTCTTAAGATATGATACAGATCCTCAGCATTTAATGATTTAACTGGTAATATATGTGCCACATCCTTGAAAGGTGATAATAAGCTACGTATCATAAAAACATAAGCACTTGTAGCAGCTTTTTCACAGTTGTAGGCCATGCCACACAAATTTCCTCCTTTAAAATCGAAACATGAATTTAAATGCACTTCATCCATCATAATAATTACAGTTTTATCATTTTCTTCTAAATCCTTGCATCTTTGTTTAACATATCCTAAAAAGTCATCATTAAATTGCTCAGTAATAGGATTAAGAGAAAACGTTGAACAAATTCTACGAATAGTACGTGGATGGGGAATAGAAATGTAACCTGAATGTCGTAAAAACTTGTATGCATGCGGTGAGATCGAGTTTAACAAACTGCAAAAAATAAGTAAATCTGGAGTATATCGATACTTCTCTTTCTTTACATTTAGTTTATTTACTTGCTCTGAAAGGAAGTTCAGTTCAGTTTCTTTTTCAGGTAACACTCTTTTCAATTCTGAAAGCATATCATCCACAATTTGTATAGAATTCTTAATATATTCTTCATTTTGTAAGTTATGAGACAGACTTTCAACTTCCTTTAGTACTTCTAGAAACATATTTACATTACTAATTTTTAGAGGGAAAACAAATTTACCAATAGATTTTATAGCGATGTTTTTAATATAAACACATACTGTTAAATCCTCATTTATTACTACCATCATTACGATTTCTGAATTTCTGGAGCTGGGTCACTTAAAATATCAAGTAACATAGTTGAATTTTCAGTATGTACAGTTGTCCAAAATGTTTCTAAAATCTGATGTTCTAGGCAATTATTGAATTCAATTAAACTTTCAAATGATCGTTCATTATCATACCGTTCTTTCATTTTCAAACTTTCTTCTATCGCTTTCTCCAGGTATTTCTCTTCTAAACGAGCTTTCTTCTTTTCTGGTGACATTCTCGATACAGAATTTGATGACATGTAGGATGGGCCATCAGGGAACTGAGAAGGTATGCATCCTTTTTTCAAACGTGGCCTAGAAATTGGGGCTTTAATTAACTTCGCTGATTTCTCATCATACATTTCGATTTCTCGTATTATTTCATCTGATCGAAAATGTAATTCACATACCTATAAAAGAAAATATTCAAAAATCAACTTGTTGTGAGTACAAAAGTTAGATGCATGTTAATATTTAGTAACAGAAGTCAATAAGCCCTATGATTTAAATAAATAATTTGATACATAAATACGAATTAAAAAACCAGTAATATCATTTCAATTACGTGTATAATTTAAGTAATTTGTAAAATCTGGAATGCTCATCATAATGATTACAGCTTTATTTACATTTAAAGAAAATTATATATTTGAGATAATTGTTTACAACAAACACTGGTTACCAAATACAAATAATTACCTTAAATACATCATACCAAACTTTCATATATCATTACAAAAATTTTAAAATGAAACCTATTATGATTACTTAGTAGTTCCTTGTCATATAAATTATGATAAATTTGGAATAACTACAGAATCTGCCTGCACAGTATACTAGAAAGCATTTACAAATTATTGGCATTTATGTAACTACTAAATTTAGAATTATTCCTGTTATATGGAACTTTATTTCATTCATAAAACTTTGAAGGAAAATATTTTTTTGAAATGATTAAAACAGGCAAGATTAAAATCTTTCAAACATAAAACTTCTTACCCACAGATCAAAATCTAATATCGTAAGCATAAACATCACATACCTATCAATAAAAGTAATAAAAAATGTAAAGATACAAAACATAAAAAATGCAGTAAAATTGAACTTACTCTGGTATGTTTAGTAGGTTGAAAGCCATCTTTTCTTCGTAGACTCCTTATCCATTTCATCCGGAGTTCAGTCTCATTTGGAAACTTGAATACAGCCACTTTTGGTCCGTTTTTATAATTACCACGACATGTGGCTACAGCACATTTATGAGGCATCGTATGAAATTATAAAAGCACGAGACAATATAAAAACTCTGTTGCTAACGCAAATAACCGCTCCACGTTCGTCGCTCTTGGCTCAACTACGGGGCTTTAATTTTGTTTGAAGGAGCGAGGTGAGTCAGAGACGACTACCTGTGACGTCAGAGCTTCCCCTCGCTTCAGTGTCCCGGCTTCCTTCTATAAGGAGGTGTTGCACCATATTGTAACCATTTTCATGCTATTTTTCTGTAGTATGAAAATAATACAGAAGATCTTTCTTTAAGGAGAGTAATCCATTTTTTTTCCCCTACCACACAGATGAAAGCATATGTTTTTAATAACTTTTATGTGGAAAAGTAAACATAAATGATTTCTGGAAATTCTTTTGCATTACTCAAGGATGTTACTAGCAGAAAATACCACTCAAGAATGCAAAAATTTCGAGAAATGGAATAAAGTCTATCCTGCATCATTAAAATAACACACACAAAATGAAAAAGAAATGATAAGTCAACTTGATGCCAAAGTAGATGAAAGCTTGTTCATTAAATCTAAAAACTAAGCTAGCTCTTTATTTCACAATACTGGATATTTAATATTTGCAAAGTGTCCAACAAATACTTATATCATCAACTACTGAATCATTCAAATGAAGGAACCAATAATATATTCGAATTCTTGGAAATCTGCAAAATGTAATTAGAGAAAAGGTGAATCTAAGAATTCCATAGATCCACTAATCACCCACTGATCAAATATAGTGCCCTAGTTTTTTTACTTAGTTTAACAAGGATATCATATTTTGCAATTTATCATATTTCATGCATTTAAGCATCTTGAATTTATATTGCACCCAGCTAACAGACAAGTACAAAATAATTTTAATTTTTCTCTCTTGAAACAGTATATTATATGGTACTGATTCTACATTGCTCTGTCATCTTACAAGGATTTTCTGTGCATAAAAACCAAAGCTTATACTGTAGTGTTCAGTATATTTTACATCCTTTATTTCATAATGTGGTATATTTTATTGTTACTTTATTTAATTTTCCTTATATCATACTGCGCATAATTTATCAATTGAATTAGATCATACTGGTATATGTATCATGTTTAATATAGCATTCATTATTATGTACGCTGTTACTAATATCCAGTAAATCTTGGAACGTCCACTCAGTGATATAACGCACTATTATGCATGTATCCTAATTTTTTTTAATTGAAACAAGTTTAAGTATCAGATTCATTACTTATTTTTAATGTAATAAGATGCACCATTTCTTAATTTAACCCTTTGACGCACGGCGGTTGCACCCGGAAACCACCATTTTCTGAATTTTTTTTCTCCTCTTTTTTCCGAAATTTTTGAGTGAAAATGGATTGATTACTGATCTTTTACATCTAAATAACACAAAATGACTGTAGAATCATATATGTTTTAGGTATTAATACTTCAGATCGGATGCCTTTTAAAATTTGTTTTCGATGAGACAAAATAACTTCCTTTTATTAATATAAACAACTTTTAAATTTCAAAAGTTAGTCATCGCATATCATGATTTTTATCATAAACAATAAAAAATTGCAGTAATTAAACTGCATATATAAAAAAACCTCTATATGTATGGCATTTGCTATGTGGCTTCAGGGCACAACCACTGCGCCACTAGAGCATTGTGTCACAATGCTTACAATCCTCTAAAAGCTCGGTGGTCGCGCCTTGAAACCACTGGCATTTGCTTCTCAATGGCGTTCGCTTGCTTTTCAAATAGGAATGTTTATTTTTACCTGGATATAGATAAAGGGCTTTGAAACCACAGAGTTATTTTATTACTAAACAATACATGCACCTGTCCAGTAAAAAGGTCTTTCTTTTCCAAATACTTTTCTCTGACATCAACACACTTGCTCCCCAAGCTAGTATTGTGATTTTATAAATTATTTCCTGTGGTTTAAATTTAATGTAAATATACTTTGCTATAATTAAAAGTAGAAATCGCGTAAAAGTTTTATTTAAATTAAAAATATTTTCTGAATATTTTGGGACGAAATACGAATAAAATAAGTGTGAATGGGAAACGAACGATCAGTAGGAAGCCAAAAAGACCAAGCCCCCCCCCATTAACATAAAAAACCATAAATTTCATGTGCCAGATGAAAAGAAACTAAATAACACTAGACATATACCAGTGAAATTTAAATCCAGGCAGTGTACATTTTGTAGCACAAGGAACAAACCTGATAGGACAAGATGTATGTGCGAAACGTGCAATGTGGGTTTATGTATGTACCAAAGAGGCAAAACATGCTTTGAACAGTGTCACAAAAAAAAAAAAAAAAAAAAAAAAAAAAAAGTGTTCTTTAAAATTAAAAAAAAAAAAAAAAAAAAAAAAAACTGAGTTCTTTTTTATCCTTTTATTGAGTTTTTAATCCATTTATCCAAATATCCTTATTATGTAGGTACTTATATTTTCACTGCTATAGAAAAATTACATAAATGTTTATTTTTTAAATTTTTTCTGATGATTTACTTTGTAAAATAATGTAAAAAAATTATATATAATGTAATTCTTACATACATTTTTTTTTAAATTCATAAATTTCATTATTTATTGGAAATGCGCGCGGAAAATGGTAAGTTTTTTTTTTTCCTAATACATCAGTAAATTTCAAAGTCCTAGACGCGCAGTGGTTTCACAGTGCGACCACAACCCACAGAACAATGGGCAAGAGTAGATTTTTTTAATTCATATATTATTTGCCTCTAGGATCATAATACTCAATTTCTATAGTTTTTAGTTAAAAAAAATTATAAAGCGCGTCAAAGGATTAACTGAATATTGATGTAGCATGCTGCTTCAAAGTTAAATGAACAGTTACATTTTATATGCAAAATAATTCTTGGTAGATATACACTGCTCAGCAAAATTAAAGGATATTGAAAGAAATAAAACTTACTGAAAAATTATTTGAAATACATAAAAGTATTACATAACATAAATTACCATTTTTACCAATTATTAGTCTCAAAATATTGAACTTAAATTTTTGGAAATTGTATAAAAATGGGAAAATGATTCCTCTTGTTTTGAAGAAATCTTTCTTTAATAGGGTGTATGGTCATTTCTAATAAAAATGCAAACATCGCATTTTGATTTCATAGAATTCATTAACCTGTTGTCCAAATCTTCTAGAATTGCATGGCAGTCTTCTAAAAGTATATTTTTCAAATTATGGAAGATTCAAAGAGGCTTTTGGCAGTCTAAGGCATTAAATCCATTCTCAGTCAGGTTCAATACCTGAAAAATAAGCTGCACAATCCATTTAAGTGATACCTTCTGTTTCCAAGTATTCTAATATCGAAGATGCTCAATGTTAATGAGCACTGTCAACTAACAGCAACAACTCTGTGTTAACAGTACTTCAAAATGGTTTTACCTGAAGTTCCAAGATCTTGTCCACATTATCTGACTGGTTACAGAACCTCCATCAAAGATGTACAACTCAGCCTGACCTTTTTCATGATTCCACTCTAAACCTTGAAACTGCTTCCATAGAAATGGGATTTTTCATGAATAAGAGAAGGCAAGCTCTGTTTCTCTAGATCAAAACATGTCTAGAATCACAATTCAAGGTATATATGAACCTATTATTAAACAGGATATGGTCCCATTTCTCTTGGCTCCACTGCGCATGACAATGACACCAACTTAAATGGGTCCCTTTTGAAGATGAAGGGCGTGAAACACAAACCATGAATTTTCTTGCATAAAGTTAAATCTCATGAAGCCTTTGTGCAGTAGCAAACTGACTAAATCAAGTTCTTGTGGCAGCCTGGAGGTCTAAAAGCAAATCTCTCACAGTTGCTTCACGGTTTTTTTCATGCCAACAATAGCAGATAACAGTCTTGTTGTTTTGGTCTGCCCTTACTTACCAATTGTTTTACATCTTAAAAAAAAAAAAAAAAAAAGTCCTGACTTCTTGATTTGACACTTTGAGGGGCTTTCAAATCTTGAGAACCTCAGTGTATGTTTAGTCCCTACTCTTAAATTTACCAATTAACTTCCGCTGTTGGCCTTGACTTAAATGATACCTTTAAATCATAGTTAATGATTACAAGCCACTCTTGCAATCTACTTTAAACAACAAATTTCAATGTATCTGTTGTACAACACGTTGTCAATTGCCTAATTTTCATAATTCATACACTAACAAAAAAATCCAATTTTGCATTCTATTGCAGATAATTAACAACAAATGATACCATTGGACATTGACTGAAAACTGATCAATAAGCATATTTTTCAGATTATTCTTTAAATTTTACAAGCAGTGTATATTATATATACCCACAATATATGTTAGTTTAACATTCCTTTTAATAAATATGTGATTTGTGAAATTTGCATATTCAAATGTTTTATTTTTAATAATAGCAGAAGAAAAAGTGGAACAAAATCATGATAACAGGGAAAGTAATGTGTGTGATGAATAAGAAGACAATCTGGCATTATAAGTAATAATTCTAACTGAATATTGTTACGTATCTTCAAGACATTTTATCTTCATATGTTTATGTATAATGTGTAATGTAAAATATAGGGAAGTTTCTAGAATAAAATAACTAAAACATCATTTTAACATTGACTTATTTTAATATTTATTAAGATATTATTATCTTTTCAGTTATTGACTTCGAAATTGAAATTTTCTGCTTATTCAGATATTTTGTAGAATCTTATACTTAACAAATGATTGCATTTATATATGTCTTCCTATGAACTTCACTAATTTGTCCACTTATAAGTAGCAACTTACTTCTAAAATGCCAGAATTTATTTAAAATCCTAAATTTTAACTGCCGAAAAAATCCGTTTATGTAAATTAATTTTGATGCTTTTAACCTGCTTAATAGCACAATGACAGAGTAGATTTTTATGATTTATCTTTAATCACTTCAAAATAAAAAATTCATTCTATAAATATTATTTAGAGTATGCATTTCAAAATCAAATGCATCACCTAATCATAAGGGATTTAAATTTCTTTTTAATTGATTACACTTCTGCTCCAAAAATAAGTAATAAAAGCAAAACATGGAATAAAAGAAAAACTAATGGATATGCATAAAATTGATCCAAGAGGTTAGTGTTTTATTACTAGACCATATAGCAAACAATAAAGCAAAGACATAAAAAATGCATGTATTATGACTAACACATCATAAAAGACCAAATGGGTTGGATGAATGACAACATAACAGTAATAACAGGTATGATACCCTCTAGCATGCTGACATGCAATGCATGCTTGACAATGCCAAAGCTGTCAATAGTGTCGTTGATACTTGTTGTGGCAGTAGTGACCATTCCTGTAGTAATTCATGCCAGAGCTCATGGAGGAGGGCATGGCAACATGCTGCAACCTATTAGCCCCAATATGTTCCACACATGCTCTATGGCAGGGATGGGCAAACTACGGCCCACCAGAAGGTTCTATCCTGCCTGTGGATAGAATTTTGATTTGCCAATCCAAGGCAAATTAAAAGAAATATATATTATATATCCATCTCCTTTTCTACTTTGTTTAAATATTATATTTTTTCTTCATTTTTTTCCAAAGGACTTATGATCTCTTTACTTTCTCTGTTTTTGTATTACAAAACATAAATTGACGGAAATAGCAAACACAGACGGCTTTCAACCTGTAAAGTGTTAAAAGCAGAAGTTCTTTGTTAGTTATAGCTGTAGATTGGCACCAACAAGCATTATCTCTTTCTTGGGGAGCAGACATATGGGAATCCAATACAGCTGAATTAGACCTCACAAGTGGCAGATTGCGCATTTTAAGCTCTAGCCCGCAGCTTTTTCTTCTTAAGTTCTAATATTATTGATTGCATATGAAAAGATTGTGGACATATAGCATCATTGTGAATAGTGGTGATATTAATTAAAAGTATAGTGTAGTTAGTGCTTGTTTGGGTTATTCTTAAACTATTTCAACCCCAAAATGGCAACTAAAAAACATGTAAAGTTGATTCAGAGAGCTGTGCTTTTAATGATGAATGGACATGGAAACATTTTTTTACATTTGTAAATGATAAACCATCGTGTCTCATCTGCAATGATGCTGTAGCAGTCTTCAAAAAATATAACATTTCTCATCATTTCACATCTAAGCATAAGAATTCCAATTATGAAGCAATGTCCGAATATGTAAGTAAACAAGATGCAGAAAGTCTTTGTAAAAAATTAAAAAGCCAACAAAATATTTTCAAGAAGGTAAACAATATCCAAGAAGCAGCTACGCATGCAAGTTACATTGTAGCATACGATACTGCTAACAATAATAAAGTTCCCAGTGATGAGAAGTTTGTTGAGCAATGCATGATCCAAGTTTGTGATGTTTTATGTTCAGACAAGAAAAATAATTTTGAGACTGTAAGCTTATCTCGAAAAATTGCGACTTCTAGAATCGAAGACATCAATAAAAATTAGACACCACAATTAAGAGTCAAAGATTGGCCAGTTTAAATTTTGCTATTTAGCTAAGGATGAAAGCACTGATATAAATGCTACTGCTCAATTAGTATTATTTATAAAAGGTGTTGATGAGAACTTTGAAATTACTGAGGAACTGGCGTACACGCATTCTTTAAAGGGAACTGCAACGAGATGTGATATTTTTCTTGAATTTCAGGGAGGATTTTTAACTTGTGCCCGTAACAAATACATGTAATATTACTACCGACGGAGAGCAAATATGACAGGAAAAAAATCTGGATTTCTTAGACTCTTTAATCAAAACTATCCTGGGAACAATGTTGTTTTTCTGCATTGTGTTATCCATGAAGATGCTCTGTGTAGATCTGCATTGAATATGAAACCCATGCTTGATGCGGTCATGAAGCTTGTAAATACTATTCAATCTCGTGGGCTTACTCACAGGCAGTTTTGAAATTTTCTTCAGTCCGTGCAATCTGAATGCTCTGATGTACTGTATGACATGAAAATAAGGTGACTTAGTGCAGAAAGATAGTCTAGTTTCGCTCAAGTTTGGCAGCTGAAAGACGACATTGTGTCATTCTTCCATGAGAAACAGTGTTCTGCAGAGTACAAAATGTTAGAAGATACAGAATGGCTTTCGAACTTTGCATCTTTCACAGGTCTTCTTTTTTAAACTAAAACTAATATGTTAGCTGGGTAGCTAGCTAAGAACGACTTGTCTCATTTCCCGAGGTTAAATTCAATACCCTCAGTAAATGAAGAGAAGCTTATGATGAATGAATTATGAAGATGGCTTGAAAAAACTGCATTTTGAGTTCGAACGCAGATTTCAAGATTCGAGTGCCATTTAAACAGAATTGGATATTTTTACAATGCCTTTCAATGTAAATTGCGAAGCAGTGAGGTCAGATTTGCAGCTTGAATTAATTGAGTTGCAATATACCAATCATCTCAAGCAGTTGTTTCTAAATATGCCAAAGTTGGAGTTTTACAAATCATTTTCAAAAGTAAGTTTCCCAAATTTAATATCTCATGCCCAGAAAATCAGTACTATTCTTGCTTCATCTTATTTATGTGAACAAGTGTTTTCAACTATGAACCTGAGAAAGAATTAATGTAATACTTGTATATTGTTTTATAAATTTTTAGAAAAATTGATCTTGGCCCGCCAAGCTTTTTTTTTTTTTTTTTTTTTTTTTTTTTTTTTTTTTTTTTTTTTTGACTTTTGGCCCACAACTGAAAAAGTTTGCCCATCCCTGCTCTATGGCATTCAGGTCCAATTATCTAGCAGGCCATGGCAGATGTGGAATGGTTTTCATCTCCAGATAACTCTGCACTACCTCAAGCTCTATGTGGCTGGGCGTTATCCTCCAATCATGTCAGTACCCTTTGCAGCAATAAAAGGGTGCACAAGACAATGCAGAATTTCAACACAATATCGTATGGCTATCATGGAACCATCAGAATCATGTAGAGTTTGGTGTGGCCATTTATTGCAATCCCAGCCCAAGCAAGTAAGCCTCCTCCTTTGTAATGGTCTCTTTCAAAGAGGTCTGGCGCTCAATAGTGTGTCCCTGACCATATCATTGCCCTTCGGGAATCTGGATATTAAATCAGGACTCGTCCATAAAGGGCTTGTGGCCCCACTACTCTGTTATCCGTGCAATATTCATGGGACCAATTCATCTGTGCTTTGCCATGCGATGAGGACAAAGGAACACAAACCATAGGTCGTCGGGTGTACAGTCCATCTTCATGCAGTCGGTGCACAGTTTGGCAGGTTATGGGTGATCCTGCAGCAGCAAAGAGATGCAACACCAGCTGCCATGCTATTAGTGATCTACGGCATTTTGCACATACCAACAAGAACCGATCGTCTGCCATTATGGTAATCCTGTGGCATCAAGACTCGCATCTTCTACAGGGGTTTTGACTTTCCACTTAGCTATCTCAGATTATGCAGAACTATCACTGCTTGCAAACTGATGCATAGGTCTGATATATCCTATCTTAAGTTGTAGCAATGCGACTCCAGGATTGTGTTTTATGCTAATTTTGATTGCCTGTTTGCATTTGGCTATGCAACCTCATATGTAAATCATATGTTTTTTTAATTCCTCTTTTTACATTTGTACTTTTTCTTTTAGCACTTGTTACTTTTTTTAAGCACAAGTGTTTTTTAATATAATTAAAAGCGAAAGTTTTGTTCTTTTTCCTTCAATCTTCATTGATTTTTTTTTTTTTTTTCAGTATTATTAGTTACGCATTCATGTTTAGCTCAGCAAATGAATATAGCGATATAATGTTTATGTATTTATTTATTAAGCAATATAAATATTCACTAAACTAAAGTTTAGAAATTAATAAGTTTACTTTTCTAATATCTATCACACTCCACATTTATATGTTGTTGATATTAATCTCTCTTGTCTAACCTAATCAGAATAAGCTCCAGATAACTCTGCACTACTCAAGGCAAAGAGTGCCAGACTGCATCTCTTGTTAGCATGAGCCTCGAGCACCATATATGTAACAGTATAACTTTGCCCAGTTTCACACCAACTTTGATGAAAAGCACCTTAGGGAATGGGTACAAGAATCTTCTGTCCTTCTTTCCCTACCACCGAGCCTCTTAAAAGACTTTCTGCCGACTGTATATTTTGAATGCTGCCATCCTACACAGACACTAACATTTATAAACATCCATACCTTCTCAAGGATTTGGACCCCAACCTTTTGGTATGGCAGTCAATGTCACTACCCATTATCCCATCTGGGTGGCCATATTCATATGTAACAATAACATATGGACTCAGTTTTAAAAGCTTTATTCCCCTAGCTTTTTCTTGTGATAAAATATGCATACAAAATACTGACAACTATTTCAAAAAGCACACTTTATCTGGAAAAAAAAAAACTATTTGCACTTATTTCAAAATATTAATAACAATTTATATAATGTTTTACACATTTACAGAATGCATTTTGAAAAACCATTCCAAGAATATATAAGTATTAAAAAAATTATACGGTGTATTTCTAAGCTGATGAAATATTGGAAATGTTAACATTTGTCAATAATTTATTTTCTAAAATGATAATACTGACTGATCAAAAGATAATTTCGATTATAATTAAATATGGAAAAAAAATCCCCAACTTAACCATAAAATTCATGTATATATCTAGAGAGAGAAAGAGATGGGGTATTTTAAATTACCTTCACATTTGGAACATATATTCCAGATGGAGTTCAGGTAACAGATTTAATCGTGACCGATTAAATCATAACATATGACATTAAAGCCAATCCTTTCACTTGGTGCAGATTTTAGTTTTAGAAATTGGAATTAACTATATTAGAAACTTTAATTAATTTAATAATCTAATGCAGGTGAAGGGACAATAATATTAGCATTCTGACAGGAAGGAAATAACTTCACATGGTGAATGCAATAAGTAACACTTGCTCTCAAGTGTTAAAAACTAAACTGTTCATTAGACAGAGGATAAAATATGTTTCCTTTGGTATTTAAATATCAAAGCTGCATTGGGAAAAACAAATTCTTCCTTTAAACATATTATATGCATATTTTTTCTATGCAAGGACTTAACATGTTTATAATTTTGAAATACTTTTTTATATTTATCATTATTATATGGGTAAAAAAGATTTTTTTTACAATTCAGTAGTAGTAAAATACTTCATAAATTCTATTTTGAAAATGAACAATATGTATAAATATAAGAACTTCAAAAAGCATTATATAAATAAATATGTTTCTTTTATTTTCAACATTAAGAAAACAAATAGCAGAGTTGTATTTTTTTAATTCTGAAAATATCCACAAGACTATTGAGAAATAAACATTTCATTTATGAGATTTTTTATTTCACAATAATAAATAAGTATTGGAATACACATAATTATAAAAGTTTTATGCACCGGTCTTTTTAACCCCTGAATGCACCTATTAAAATTCACTACATGGTCTTTTCAGCCAATTTTATTTAACTCAATCTTTTTTGAATTTAACTCAAAATTATTGCATTTATATTTTGTTGTATTAAAAAAAAAATTCTTTGATATTTATGTGAGTACATGAAAAAAATTCAATTCAGTGTGTCATATGCATTAACAGGTTAATAAAAATTTACTAATATGTAGCAATACATTTTAATTCCAATTAAATGTCTGTGTTAAGTAAAACTATGTCTACATAGTTTCGAAACAATAAAATATAAATTTAGGAAATAAAATGAATATAAATTTTTCTGGTTAACAAAGGAATATATATATAAACACATATATACATATAACAGAGCAAACGAGTTAAAATAGTCTAAATTAAAAAGATAAGATATAATAGATTTAAAACATACATAATTAACCAACAAAAATAGAAAATTCAAATCTGATAAAATATGTTGATTCTTGTACAAGTCAATACTTTTTTGGGAAGTGTTATTTTACAGATCTGCATAGTTTCAAATTTAATGATTGGTTTAAAAGACTTCATTTTAAGTCAGTTGCTAAGCAAGTCATCAGTTTTATCATTTACCAGGACACTGATCAGTCTCAGAAACTGCTGAACGATATGCATTCCATACAGGTGCTGACTCGAAACAAAGTGCCCCACCACCACGTTTTGCTTGGGACGCCTAGTAACAAGTAAAATAATATAGTTATTATCTGTTTAATTCATATATAATATACACTTTTAATTCTATTTAGATAGAAAAAGCAAGCATAAAAATATTTCATAAATTTTATTTTAAAGAAAAATTTTACTAATCATCTGTAAATTATAATTTATTTTTAATCATCTACACTGAAAAAAAAATCATGTTTTATATGTTTTAATTCAATTTACAGCAATTTTTTTTTATTTTTGTAGGTTAAATTTCATAATTATAATATCTATTGGTATTTGCTAATCTCTAGTGAAAAATGGATATAAATATTGGTGCTCTTCTGTTGCTGGGACTGGATTTATGCATGCTTGTATGAATGGATGGATGTGCTCATGTTTGTGTGTACATACACACATACAAATATGCATATGTATGTGTATGCATACTCACTAGGTTAAATTTCATAATTATAGTACTGTATTGTGTATACACACATTTTTTAATCTGGTCCCAATAACAGAAGAGTACCAAATATTTTAAACATAAGCATACTTGCAGCTTTTTCCAATATGCTTTTAAAAAAATAAGATTTAGCAAATAACAAATTCTGCAATTTTTGATGAAAATCAGATATATAAATTATCAGTTTATTAAGAGAAGAATAGTTCATGATACTAAATCAATGAAGTACCATTTTTTACTACTTGCATTATACTTTTAATTTACTAATACAGTTTGTGTTAGGCAATAAAACATATGTTCATAAGCTTTTGGGATAACAAGGCACTCTGAGAGATTTTCTAAACATAAATTCAGTATTTTATTTCACACAATACTGAAGCCTTACAAAAGAATTCAACAATACGCTTTTAGAATTGTGAATTCAGCTTATTATACCTGAGGGTCAAGGTATACCTCAAAGTGTTCAGGGTGATGATTACATGTGTTTTGTGTGCCATTCCAAACATTTACCAAAGTTCACATACAACACTTATTACGATAACAAACAGAAAATATTATATGGAATGAAAGAATTATATATATTCAAGAGCGGCACTACATGATTTTCACCCTTTTGATGCTGCAAGATATACATCTGAACACGTTGAATTAGAAGGATTAACTGAACGTTTTTGACACGATGATAGCCCATCTATCTACTAAGGGCAGAACAGCACCCTCTGTTTTCAATTCACTTTAAAATCTTGAAAATAATTTCATGAGAATGAACAAGGAAAATCCTAACTACCATTGTGCATATCTTGTTATAATCTAATTAAATTACAATAAATGCAGTAATTATAATATTAAATATGTCATGGGAAAAAATAATTTTGCAATATTGTTATCTATATGAATAATTAATGCATACAACAAGCACAAAATACACATTCATGTTTTTTAACTTCAAATGACCTATCTTTCCTTAGAGTATTCCTTGTGACTTTATTTTGCTTAAAATTTCATCAAAAAACCTAAAATTAAGTAAATATAATAACCTAAAATCAGTAACCCTACAATATACTAAAAATTAAAAATCTGTAACTTTCCAATGAATGCAGTTTAGTAAAATTAATGCTTCATTACATCTTTTAATAAATAACAGAAAAAATGAAACAACATAAAGATTTAAAAAACAACAAAAAAAAATTAACTGCATCAGAAATTCAGATTATTTTTTACAAATTAAAATAATTAAGCAAATGAAACAGACAAAAATAAATAAAATATTTTGAAATAAGAAATTCAATAGAAGAATATTATTACCATTCTATTCATATCCCCAACGCATATCCAACTTTTATCATTTGCAGCAGAGGCAGCCCATTTGCTGTGATCTTCAGTAGATTTAAACAGTATATTCTTTGTTTTCTTTTTATCAACAACAGTCATATTCATTGTTACAATATCAAGAACTGAATAATCAGATTTGCAAGAAGCTGGTAAAAACATTCCGCTTCCACGGCGCCATGTCTCAGTCACTAAGGAGGATTTCAAACCAGGAGCAATGACATCACTATACAAATCTGTTAAACAATTACACACATTTACTATCTGGTAGGAAGGTAACTTAAACATTTAGTATGCATTTAGTTTCATATTAATATGTGTAGATAGATAGTGGGAAAAGTTTAAAAAATATATCAACCAAAACATTTTTATTAATTATATTTAATTTTATATTATTGTGAAAACATACAAATAAGAGAATTCAAACAAAATTCAATAGCTAAGCTAAATAATATATGGTGTTAAAAATATAAGTGCTTTCTGATTATCCATACCCCCATTGAAAAGCCATGAAAAAGCACTGATGAGGCAATGTACCATGTCACCAAAACTATTTATGTGACAACTCAGTTGCATAGCATCTCCCCAATATATTTTCACTAGTGTGACTGCAAATTATGATCACAATAATGAAAATTACTATGTTTTAGTACAGCTGTGGACTGCATACTGTAGTTTGCGTGGTCTTCAGCGAAATTTTGGACATAGCTTCCTTCATGCATATTGCGTAATGTGCCCACTTAAAAGCATCATGTAGCTATTTTTTTCCTTCTCATTTTAGAATTAGAGCTGAGTTTGTGGAATTCCCAGATTTTTTTAAATGAAAATAGCTAAGCTAAATAATATATGGTCCATCCCCCATTGAAAAGCACTGATGAGGTAATATACCATGTCGCCAAAACTATTTATGTGACAACTCAGTTATATGCATAACATCCTCCCAATATCTTTCCACTCCTCCGAACATTTTCACTAGTGTGACTGCAAATTATGATCACTCTAATGAAAATTACTACGTTTTAACACAGCTGTGGACTGCATACTGTAGCCTGCATGGTCTTCAGCGGAATTTTGGACATAGCATTGCTCTGTATATGGGAAGAGAAACAGCAAAAAAAAAAAAGTGTTTCTTGTGCAGAAAAAGAAAAATGTAAAAAAAAATACGTGGAACTGAAAGTATTGAAGTGCATGTAAAGGAACCACAATAAATGTTTCTCTCCAAAGGTGTCAACAAGTTCATGACGTTTCAGTGAGGATGTGGATAATCAGAAAGTATTGAAATATATCATATTAATTAAACTAATTGTTTAAATATACATGAAATAACTAGTATTTCACAAAGCATTTCTTAAGCAGTTTGGCTAAATAAATTAAATTCATTTTATTTAGTTTAATGACGAAAACTGTAAGAACCGTTAGTTTAATGACTAAAACTATAAATTGTAAAAACTATAAAATTTGTAATTTTTTTTTTTTTTTTACAATTGTACTGAATTATAAAATTTCATAAGTGAAGTAGTTCATGGCATGCAAGCTGCCATGAATAACTAGTAGTTTTATTATACCCCCAGTTTTACAGATATTTGTTTTTTTTTTTATTATTACATTTATAAAGAAAAGAATGTCTCACTCATCAAAGCATTCCTTTGCATCTGGAAAATCAGAATAAATAAAAGCTACAAAGAAAATTAGTTCGTGAAATTTTTTTGAATGTTTAATTTCCAGAATGTTTATGTAACAGACATTTGAAAATATTAAATATAAAAGCAAGCAAAACTTCAACCAGCAACAATCAAAGGTTGATTTTTGTCAATATATCATAATGCAGTATACTTCCTGTTAAATTAATTTTTGCTAACTAAATCAGGAGAAGGAAAATTACTTATTGCTTAAAAATTTACAACTGTACTTTAAGAAATCATAAGGAGTGCATAACTGTCATAAAATCAAAAGTTTATTAATGAGAATGTCATTAAAGGCTGCAGACTCTAAGAGATTTAATACCAAAGTTTATAAAATCGTGTAATTTGTGAACTATATAATTGTAAAAATACATATTAATTCTAAAGGTATATCAGGAATATATACAGATATCCAGAGAAATGGCATACTGAGACTTTTTATGTATTCAGAGCGTTTCACTTAATTCTTTCTTAGTTAAATGAAATAACCTAAATCTCTGTCTATAGGAATGAATGCCTTCGTGGATATTTTATTAAAGAAAATTGTCTCACATTTATTTTACACATAACAAAAATTATGAAAATAACCATGCAGCTAAACGGATTATTGCCAGAATTCAAACCTAGACTAGGATTCTCTGGATTTTAAGATATTAACCATTTCTCATTTGGAAACTATTTCATAAAAACTAAATAATATTCTACAATTAAAAAATGCATGTAATTCTATTTTTTTTTAATTTATACATCAAAACTAATACTTGAAAGAAAAACTCTTTTGAGCTGACAGATATGATAATATAGCAATTGCTATAAATTTTAAATAGTTCTGTCATCAAATTTTAATCAATATAAAAATACAATAAAAGTCATAATACAAATGCAACATTAACTTCTGTATTTCATAAAGAATAAACCATAACTGCATAATTTTTACGATTTAAACAATTTAAGTCAATTGTTAAATACTTAAAATAGCACTTGATCACACTGCATTAACACTTCTGTGTTATATGATGTATGTTCATATGATTTTATAATAGGCCAGAGATTGCAATGGCTATCAACACACAACACTTTCATACTCTCATTACATTACACAACTAGTTTTAAAAGTCCATCAGATTCTGCTGTCTGATCGATATGTATCAGTACAAGCAACCTAATAAAAGAAAGCCATGATACTGGAATGTGATGTCACGAGCATTCCTAGTTGATACTCTGGCAGTGTAACAAAATAAAATATGTTGTGCACTAGTGGCATATTTAGCATTGTTTTCATTATTTTATATAGATAACATGGGATGAATTTTGTTCAAAGATTCAATATTTTTGCTGTTTATAAATGGTAAAATTAATATTCAGAATTTATTATATTAAGAAAGTACACAAATAAGATTTTATAAATTCTCTGGCAAAAATAAAGGGTTTATATTTTATATATAATAACAAAAAATTAAATAATTAATAATATCCATGGTTAATTAGAAACATTTACACTAAAAATTATTTTAAAATCTAATAACTACTTTTCAAACTATAATACCAATTGTTTGGACAAATCTATAAACACAGTGTGCATGAAGACAGTTGTTGTAATAGGACTGAATTTCCATCAAAGTACCTATTTCCCTTGCTTAAACAGTAATTAAGTTTAAAAAAGGACTAGGTATGTTCTGTAAAACATAAATATTTCCTTAAGATCTTCTTTTCTTTGTCTTTCATGATTAATATTGTATTAAATAACACTTCCAAAATGTTTAAAAAGAAAAATTTCTTTTTCATAATTTTGTATAGTTTTATGTAGCTTTTATAACATACGAGGTGAACATCTACATGTTATAGCAGTCCTATATACAAAATTTCAACATTCTGAGGCTACTCGTTTTTGAGTTATGCGAGATACGTACGTACATTCGTACAGATGCCACGAAAAATTCTCTTCAGAATTCATTTTAAAGCAGTTTTATAATTTTTTTGGAGGAAAAGAGTCTGTTATTCTGTCCTTACATACAGATATCATGCAAAAACATCGTTAAATTACATTCGATAGCTGTCAAAATGGATATTTTCGTTGAAATATGCTGCCTGAAACTTTTTGCGATTACAATACTTCCTTTTCACTTCGTACAAGGAAATAAAAAAGACAATGAAATATACCAATCTCTTAAAAACAGTGACATAAGAAATATGATGAAAAATTGTTGCCAAACCCATATTTCTAAAAGAATGAAACTATTCAAAATGATGCGATTTCATCAAAAATCTATCAACAACAATAAGAAAGAAAAATTGTTGCCAAAATCACATTTTTAAAGATGTGAGATGTGAGAAGTGTACTCGGAAGCTTCATTTAAAAATATTTTTTTTAAATGCAAAATATTATCATTTTTCCAAAATTCTTTTTGTAAAAGCAGTCGCAAGGATGAAAGTTTAACGTGACCAAAAATCAAAGAAAAATAAACTGTACATTTTAAAAAATAAACTTTTTTAGGAAAAAATCCCATTGAAAAGGTGTTAAGCTCACTTTGTTAAATAAATTCGTATTTAATCGATTTATTGAAACACGAAATTTATTTTAAGTTCGTAAAATAACTAAGTGCCTATGTTTCATGACGATGTGAAAATGGAGTGTGTAGAGTAAATTCTCGCTTTCCTATAGCCCATTATGTCTCAAAATGACGCGATTTCATCACAAAACATAAAATAAAAAAAATTGAATTCGAATTTCGAAAAAATCGCTTTGAGGTGCACTGGCTCTTGTCTAGATGAACCTATGTACCAAATTTCGTAGCCATGGGTCTATTAGCTTACGCGCAGCGTGAACGAAACACTCACACACAGACTCTTTCTTTTATTATATGTAGAGATACAGTGTTGTATGAAAAAAGTACTTTATTATAACATACTACAAAATATATAACTGTCTTCAGCTATGGAGAAAAAAATGTGTTATTATAAATTTTAAATAATTTAATCACTTAGAAGTTAAATGCAATGATGAAATTTTATGTCAATTTAGGAACTTGCTGTTTTTTCTTTATTTGTAGACTTCTGTATTTAATTAATGAATTACATTTCTCGAAAGGTTTAATAGCAGTTATCATCTTTAAATCAACAATAATAATAACTGAAAAAGGAATTACTGATTTTTCTATCATATTTTGTAACTAATCCAACTAGTCTGGTTATTCTTTTGCTACTTTTCCTTGTAATGTTCAACATGAAGATGGCATTTTTATTGTTACCCTACATTTTTCTAATATGATGTGATTTCTATAAAATTAACTGATTCTTGTTCTCATATAAGTTCATAATATAATGGCACATAAATATGCATCTGTCTCCGTGCCATGTGAATTTTAAAAACAGCCAAAGAGTGGCCATTTTCAATTGAGCCTGAACTTGGACTTCATTGAATAAGTAATCTATGAAGGAAAGACAATTTTGAATCTATAAAATATTCAAAGGTAAGTTTGATTTTCTTGCATTTCTTATGTCTAAGTTTTTGTCCTGTTTTTTAATTATATTAATTGTTATTGATGATATTTATG